GGGTTAGCCGGACAAGGCCAGAAATGATTGCAGGGGGGAGGGTTTAGGGTGGAAATGATTGCAAGGGGGGGGGTTTAATTTTCTCAGCAAGGGGTGATGCGTGGACGTCAAGACAGCCTTCTTGAACGCGCCTGTGGTGACCCCGAACGATACTACTATCATCGTCAGGGTTCCGGCCATACCTAGGGCTGCGGGGGTCTGTCAAGAAAAGTACTGGCGTGTGAACAAAGCGCTGTGCGGACTAGACGTTGCACCTCGCTCCTGGACCCTCCTTCCACCGCAACGCTACCCTTAGCAACCTCACCTGCCTGCCTGATGGCACAAAAGTTCAGTGCACGCCCCTTGAGGAGGACGCGAATGTTTGGTCCGTGCGCGATGCTACCACCGGCAAGGTTCTCACGTACCTTGGCCTGTACATCGACGACATCCTCATAGCAGGTCCTGAAGCCCAGGCGAGGCAGGTTGCTGCAGCCCTTCGAACTGTGTGGACCACCTCCAAGCCGGAGTGGTTGTGCCAAAATCGCCTTTAATGGTTTCGAGCTTACGAAGACCCCTACAGATTACAAGGTTCACCAGGAAGGCTACTGCAAAGAGCTTCTTGCCAAATGGGAAGCTGTTGAAAGGGAAAACCGCGTCCCCATTCCCAAAGAGTTCTCTATACCTGAGACTCCTGCTGAGGAGAGGGAGGCTCTCACAAAGCAGGCCCAGACCATGTGTGGCCAACTCCTTTGGTTGTCCGGCAGGACAAGGCCTGACTTGGTTGCTCGTTGCAACTGTATAGTCAAGTATCTTCGTTATGCCCCTTCCGTCGGCCTCCACTATGGCCCAGCTCCTGACGACTTTGGTCAGTGGGCTCAGCTGAAATACAGGCGGGATGCTAGCAGCATCGAAGTGTACTCAGATGCCAGCTACGGAGCTGACTTTGAGGAAGGCTGTAAAGGAATGCAGTCCGCCCATGTGTACTGGGGTGGAGCACTTGTAATGTGGGGCCAGTGCCGGCAGCCACTTGTGCCCACCTCCACAGCAGAAGCGGAAGTCATTGCCCTTGCAGAGGCACACCTGATGGGCAAAGCCGTGAGCCCGGCAATCGAAGCCCTCCTCGAGGGGATTACTTCCGCCCCTCCCAGCCGTGTCCTTTTCTGCGACAACAGTGCTGCTGTGCAGATTTGTCTTTACGACACTGGCTCCTGGCGGACGCGTCACCTCCGAAGGAGCAGTGCAAGCATTCACTATGATGTCGAGGCATCGGAGTGGAAGCTCTCCCACCTCGAAGGGGTCTGTCTGACCGCAGATATGGGGACTAAAGCCCTGGGTCCCTCAAGGTTTGAGGACCTACTTCAGGCCCTTGAGCTCTGTGTTCCGCACCGTGAGTCCCATGCCAGGGACGAGGCAGGAGGCCAACTTGCCAAGCCTGAGCCCACCTGGGTCACCAAGGTCCTGCTCGCCCTTGCCCTCCTGTGTCAGGTTCAGGCAGCATCCGCGCAAGCCACTACCTCCAGTGACCTTCCTGCTGTCACGGGCGGAAATTTGTTCCGCATGTGTGTGTGGACCAGCCTGATTGGCCTACTCTTGGGTTTCTGTGGGTTTTTAGGGTGATCTTTGGGGAGGTTAGTCCTAGGATGGTTTAGACCTCAACTCCGTGTGCAGACCCGTGAACCCTCTCTCCCGCCTCCTGCGCCAGCACCTCACAGAGAGACCAGGCCCAGTGGTTTCATAAACCTTGAGGGGAGGAATCCACCTCGACCCACCCGAGTGGAGCTGGCAGAGAGGTTCCGCCAGGACGGAGGCCGCACAGCTCCTCGAGGCTTACATCCTGCAAGGCAGGTACCCAGACGTCCCTACACCAGGGATGGATGGTCCGCCCATCGAGGGACAGCTTGTCCTGTACAGGGGCGACGGCCTGCAAGGTGGGGAGGAACCCGGTGCAGGGGCGTTCACCTCGGAAAGTTCGGAGGAAGCTGACACGTCTACTGCGTCCCCTATGAGGGAATGCCTGTCACTCCAAGCTTCTCAGCTCCTAGCGTGCGTAGCGCGATCCATACGATCCTTGTCACGTCACTTTCGCAAGCTCGCAACGCTTGCAATTTTCAGTGCCGTTCTGATGTGTGTCTTTGGCATTTTTCAGTGTAGACGCGCCAACTAAGTGCCATGACCAAGACCAAGAAGGGCTATTGTGGTTGTGGTCAATTTGGTCTAGTGCCGTCACGCTTGTAGTTCCTTTATATGCGGTAGCCTCCACAATTATTGTTATTACAGTACAGTTCCTGCGATGGGCAGGATGGATTGGCAAAATGCCTGCACGCAGACAATCTTACCACATACTCCTGCCATACTTTTCGTATGGTCCTAATATACCCCTCATATACCCCTACCCTTGATATGCCCGTACCAACGGCAGTTTGCATGGACCACGAGTTCAAAAGGAGCTCAGCATGGACCATGAGTTAAAAGGGAGCACGGGTGATGCTGCACGGCAAGTTTTTCTTTGACGGCATGCCCGAAGCAAAGCAAAACAAGTAAACGAGCTCCCCTCCGTTGGATAAGTGGAGCGTGCATGCGTTGCAGGCTCTTCTCCCTGCAATTCTCGCAGAGTTTTTTTGTTTTCCCTGTGCCCCTCTCCTAGTAGGAGCCTTGACAGAGGGGCGCCCAAATACGGTGCACAATATAAACCCGAGCCATATACTACAGAAGAGCAAGATGCTTGACATCAAGGGCCCCTAAATCAGCCACCCAACCTAGACTCCAAATAGTAAGATCCTTTACCATAAAGATCCGTTTACGAGCAAGCCAAACCTCAGAGCCCTAAGGTGCATAAAGCATGGAGGGTGCCGGGCAATGGCAGGCCTGAACCCAAAAAATACTAGAGCCCAGGAGGGGCTAGAAAGGAATTTAACTCCTTAATCTTGAGAACAGTCTTTACGGTAGTTTAAATGCGTCAGACAGCGATAATTAACGTTGATGCTGCTTGACAATTTTAGCAGATGCTGCAAGACATTTGTACAACAAACCTTATGCAACCCAACAGTGACAAGCCTGTGAGCCCACTATTGGCAACCCAACAGGAATCTCGAAAACCATTAGCAAGAGTATTCCTCAGGGTTCCCTAATACAATCATGGCATCAAAGCATCTCCCAAAACCCTGAGCCTGATTATTCAAGCCTCTAAAGTACAGTGGTGAGTCTTAGCTGAGAGTCGCAGGACATGGCGAATGCAGCAAACGGTTGCATCTCAGAAGCACGGGGGAAAAGGGCTCAGGGTGTCTTTCGGGCTTAGCCTTAGCGACATACCGTAAATACTACAGTCATTTCCACAAAATTACCACAGTATACTATGGTAGTTTTTCCATTTTCTTTTCCATGATCGTATTGGGTTTTGGAATTTGAGGGTTCGGTTGTCCAGGGGTTCGAAGTACAGCTTGCTTGTCAGTGTCTCAAGGCCTTCCTGTTCCGGTGTACAGGGCACCGGGGCCAGTAGTATTGCCAACAAGTGTATGTTTGCGTCGCCATGCCTCACGCTCTGCTGATCTTAGTTGACCAATTCTATGCATGATGCTGCTACGATGACTGAAGTTGCTGTGTTCAAACGCGTTGACAGGCATGTTCGGCTTTCATGGTTGTGGTTGTGTATGGAAGAAGAGAGCGTGAATGATGAACCTTGGACGGCTCAAGCCCGGACTCTTTGGAGCAAGCAAGGTAGCATGACTCTACAAGCCTTGCACTCTAGCCTCTAAAGGGCAATATGTCGCGTTCAATGCCCTCTCCAAGCCGGGCAAAGGATTTACTGACATTCAGCACTCAAGCCGCAAGCCTTCGTGCCATGCGGGAAGTTCTGCCTGAGGCCGTCTCAACATCGCCCGAGGTTGCTTTCGCTATCGTTTTCGCCTTTCTCCACTGCTGCGTGCATGGCAAGGCCGTCCTCCGAGAAGTTCGGCACCGCGTCTTTGAGTATTGCGCTGTGGGGAGCAAACGGGAGACTGTTTTTGATGCTCACAAGGATCGCGTGGACAAGGCCGTGGAGCATCAAATCGAAAAGAATTTCAGGATGGCGAGCAGCCTCACTCCCCACTGTGTGCCCTTCATTGTTCCATTGCTCCTTACGAGGCAGGACACGAAGGTTTTTCTGTTGCAAGCATTTCTTGCTTACGTGGTACAGAGCTGCCAAACTCTCAAGCTTATCACTATGTCGGCCCGTCGCGTACGCTTGTTTGCACAATTGTTCTACTTGAACTGGATGCTGTATGGTTGGGAGAGGCGCTTTTCAGATGGCCCAGAGGCTTCCATGATGCTTTCTGCAATGACCTTCTGCCGGATTATGCTTGTGGTGATCGAAATCGACAGCCGTCTTCACATCCCCGGTCAGACTGGGATCACTGCTTCCCTGGTCCTGTCCAAGTTGCACGCGTGCGGCTGTACCGCGAGTGTTGCCTGTTTGGCTCTGTCTGAGGGCTTCACGTTGGTTCCCGGGACAGGGTTGGCAGCTTTTGAATGTTCTTACAAGTGCGTGGCCTCCACTCTTTTCCTTCAGCCCTGACTCCTCCGGCGCATGCATGAAGGGGTTCAGAGCCTTTGAACCCTCGACACTGACCAAAGCCGAACCATGAGTCCCGAAACCGAGAAACAAGCGCTTAAGAATCCCTGAGCCCTGAATCCCCTAAGTCCAGTGAAGGTCATGATCATCGCCCTATCGATCATCTTGGAGTCCAGCCTAAGAGGTCATTTTGCAGCACAGCTGAGGTCGACGGATGCTGAGGCCTAGATGAGCTGCAGCAATCATGAGTTATGCATACCGCTTTATTGCAGCTTTGGAATAGATGGAAGGATTCGGAGGGTCAAGGGCTCCAGAAAATTCAAGGGTTCAGCATGTTGGGGACTTGAGGGATCAAGAGGGCCGTGTTAGAGAGGGATATGCGGTTCTGTATAGGGTTCATATCACAGCCCCTGTTAGTGGCAATGATGAGAGTTGCTCATGTAGGAGTTTCAGGGCATAGTAGTAGTGGCAAAGTGTACATGGAAGGGCAGGGCTGCCACTCCTGTGAGTAATGCAGTGGCCTGGGCAGGGCCTACGACAGGAGGCAGTATCGGGTTCTAATAATGCAGAGGATGGAAGAATGAGAAACAACATCCCGTCAGAGCCCCTGTATAATTACGAGATAATATACCCCGACCACCCTGTTCCAGTTGTTCAGGCCCTTGTATGAGACTCACCCTGAATTTCTCCACTTTGTTCGCCTAAACCAGCCTTCAAGCTTGAGTTTGTCCCCTGCACAAGAATGAAGGGCCTGAGCCCTCAGCCCTTAAACCCCAAATCCCGAGCCGTACTCCCAAAACCCCAGACCAAAATGTAGCCTGTACTTGAAATCGACACCTTCGACCCAGACCCTATCCCTAAATCCCATTGCGGAGGCCATGGTGTCCGGGTTCCGACGGATGCTGCGTGGCATTTGTGATGGTGAAGTCTTGCTGGATGGCAGCCTTTGCATCAAAGGTGCTTGTTCATTTGAGTTTCGGCTGGGTGCTTAGGGATTCAGGGATTCAGGGGGTGTCTTCTTCTCAAAGCTCATCCGTCAAACCCTCTCAATCACTTATTGGTCATCATAACATCCCTTTGTAGTCAACAATTGCTCAGTGACTACAAACAGATACCTCCGAAGCCAAGTCTGATGATTCAGGCCCTCCCACTCCGTCCCTGCAGGCCGCAATGCTTGCTTGCAAAGGATCATGGCGAAACCGGTCGATGCTAATTCTCGCTTCCCGGATCTTCTGGTGAACTCCGAAGAGGCGCGGCTTTAGGAGTCTCAGTCTAGGGTATTTATAGGGTTTGTGGGGTTTCAACGGTTTAGGGTTGTAGAGTTTCAGGGTTAAGGAATCTTTGGGGTCTAGGGTTTAGGGTTTAAGGGTTTAGTGTTCCAGGTTGAGGACTTTGCGGTTTAGCGTGTAGGGTTCAGGGGATTGGCCCTGGGGACCGGGCAGACTTTCGATAGCATGCCAGGACCCACCACCTGCACGGAGTCAAAAGCCGCCGTCAGTTTAATCCCACATCGCTACACTCCTCAAGCCTCAAGGATTATTAGTAAGTATTAGAGAGGGGACTGTTGTGGCG